GACCCATTTGAAGTCCTTAAAGTCGCCAAAACAGCAGTTCTAACTGACCAGACTCCACAATGGATACATGCATCGAGGTTGAAGAAATACCTGGAGATGAAGGACTCCCCAAGAGGTTCGCCAGAACAAGAGAACACAGTTTCTATGCCCCCCGACATCCCACCCCAGAACTCCTGATACTGATACCCCCAGCACAACAGCACACTTTTTTACCTGTTGGATGAATGGATACCCCACCCCATTGCATCCCACTGACCCACAGACATTGGGTTATACATAACTGAAACTGTTCACATGCATATGATCAGTATGCTAGAAGATCCATCTATTAAGACACTGAATGAACCTCATCCACTTAGTGCACATTTTCAGTTCAAAATGAGACTTACTGATGACAAATGAAAGAATCCTATAAGACATAGACAGCTTACATCCCAAAGGCCTCAAGAGAACCCGGAGGAAGATGAATCTCAGGACAAAGGGGATTCCGAGATAACAGAGGACCCCCTTTCTTCTGACAACCAATCAAATAATGGAAGGTGCCAAAATATTCGGAAGTGGTACCGAGTTATTCCAAAGATTTATAAAATAATTAATTGCACTTATACACTAGCACTTCTTTTTGCAATTTTTATTTATTTAAAATTTGCTATATGGGGAGTGGGTAAAACTATGAAGCTAGCAGTTAAGCACAAGAGCCCAGACTCCACCTCTCCAACAGGCGGCTCCACACTTGCTTTGTTTGGACAATCCAGAGAGGAGGTGTGGTATTCTGAGTGATCATGTTGAACAAAGGTTCAATATGATCAAAGAGGGGGTTTGTGGGAATATGCGCTAGGGCTATTGATTCAGGTATACCATTTTGTATTCATTATGCTTGCATTGTGATAAGAGTTAGAGTGATGCTTTAAGTAGATGAAATTATTATGTCTTAAGTAAAGAAATGTCAGCATTATTGTCGAGCTTATATGGAAAATTCCTAACAGAAAAGACAGCCACTGATTTCCTAATGAGAGGGCGGACTCCCGGCGGCCATTTTTTTGGAGTCCGTTGCTCACACGCATAGGGAAATCATAGTCCTCGGCTGCAAATGAATACTAAAATCGGAGAGAACTCTAATAATGTTCAAATGATTGATCTAAATGTAATAGCAGCCCATCATATGCAGTATGGCAAAGGTAAATACAGGACCATAAGAAAAATATATAAAGCAAATGTATATAAAAAAAAATTAACCCAAGTCCTATTGTGACTCAGTTCTACCACTAAGAAAAAAAACAACAAACAGTTGTAATAAACTTTATTAAAAAAAAATAATTAAAAATGAATTCCTATATAAAAAATAAAGATATATGGAGGAGAAAAAAATCCTACTAAACCAGGGGAAAAAGAAAAAGAAAAAAAGAAGAAAAAAACATGGGATATGAAACACCCATGTCCATGGCAGGGAAAAGGGGGAAAAAAAATATAAAATTAAAAGCCTATTAGCTATAACACATACCCACTTGAAAATCATACATGTATGTGTAACATGCATATACAGCCATAGCTTGGGTTTACACACTATTACATAAATATAAGATTCTGATGATAGCCAATAAAAATCCATATTACCCAGATACATACAAAATATATAAAACTTGTTAAAAATATAAATATTAAAAATTAATTAATAAAAAATGTATTAATAAAAAACCAGAGGACTTACTAATAACATAAATAAAAATCACAAAAAATCGCTAATGAAACAATTGAGATCAAACTTTATATTAAGGCCGTACGGTACCTGTGTATACATAATGTAAATCCATCTAGATTCCGCCTGACTCAGGGATTTAATTTTATTACCTCCTCTCCAATGTCTAACATATTTTTGAATACCCCAAATCTTCAAACCAGAGGGGTCTTTATTGTGCTGTTTGAGGAAGTGTCTGGCAACACTGTGTTTCAGGATTCCTTTTTTTATATTTTGTACATGTTCCCTCATGCGTTTCCAGAGGGGTCTTTTGGTCCTTCCTACATACTGGAATTCACTTTTACATTCAAGACCTTTTACCACTCCCTCTGTATGGCATGAGATAAAATCCCTAATAGAAAATTCCGTTCCATCATAATTGGCCTTAAAAGTTTTGCGTTTTACATTTTTCCCTTTTGTTTCTCTACATGCATAACAATGCCGGCACGGGAAGAATCCTATTTGGTCAAGGAATGTAACTTTTTTCTTCTTAGGTGGATCAAGTACATTTTTTACCAATCTCATCCTCAAAGAAGGTGCTTTCCTGTAGATGAATTTTGGATGGTCTGTTAATACTTTATTCAAAATGGGATCAGATTTAAGAATGGGCCAATGTTTAATAAATATTTTTTCGATTTTTTTATAATGAATATTAAAATCTAAAATAATTGCCATTTGGCTATCAAATACATCATTCTTATTTTTATCCAAAATCAGTGACTCCCTTTGCATATTTTCAACCTCCACTATTCTCTTCTCAATCTCTTTTTTAGGATAGCCTTTTTTGATGAACTTATCTCCTATTACATTCGCTTGCTTCTTATAGTCTTCCTTTTCAGAACAATTTCTTCTCAACCTTACTAGTTGACCTTTAGGTATATTACATAACCATTGGGGGAAGTGGCAACTATCTAATGGTATGAATCCATTCCTATCAACTTCCTTAAAGTAAGTATTTGTAGTAATCTTACCTTGTTGATTCATAATGTTGAGATCTAAGAAACTAATTCTTTCTTTATCATATGTCCAAGAAAAATGGATATTCTTAGAATTAATATTTAATCTTCTTAGAAAACTCAATAACAACTCACTACTCCCCTTCCATAGAATAATCATCATCAATATATCTATGATACGAGATAAGTTCATCTGGGGTCTGTTTGTAAATTGCCTCCTCTTCCCAATATGCCATAAATATATTGGCAAATCTTGCCCCCATGGCAACTCCCTTAATTTGTTGGAAGAAAGTATGATCATGCCAAAAAATAATTATGTAGAAGGCAAAATTCTAAACATTTTAATAAAAACTTCCTCTGTGGCTGTTTAATTTTACTATATTTTTCAAGACCCCAGGTTGCTGGTTCCATCGCTCCTTCATGATCAATAATGGTATAAAGGGAAGTTACATCTGCACTAGCTAAAATCATTTCTGAATGACCCTCAATTTTTTTTAATATTTGAATCAAATGTTTCATATCCCGTAAGTAAGCTCTGGTTTTTTTTTTTACAACCGGCCGTAAATAGAAATCAACATATTGACCAAGTCTTGATAGAACGGATTGGATACCATTTACTATTGGTCTACCCGGAGATTCTTTCAAGTTTTTATGAATTTTTGGTACGGTATATATAACCGGAATCCGGCAAGTATCAAGTACCAAATACATTGTCTCTTTCTTGTTAAGAATCTCTTTATTTTCTCCTTTTTGTACAAGTTTAACCAATTGTTTCTTATATGACAACGTAGGGTCTTTTGGGATTACTTTATAGGTGGTGTCATCAGCCAATTGTTTCTCTAGCTCTTGTAAATAGTAGTCTTTCGATAAAACTACTATGCCACCATCTTTGTCAGCAGGCCTAATAACAATGTTGTCTCTCTTAGAGAGTCTATTGAACCCTGTTTCTATTCCAATATTATTAATTCTCTTAGAAATTTTTAAAGTTTCCAAATCCTTGTTAATCATATGTTTGAATACTTCAATATGGTCATTATTGGACACCTGTGGACTTATTTGTTAAATGGCTATGTACAATATTATTACTAAAACCATTAGCTATGTTACTTTTTGCCCCTGGTAAACTTAAAAAATATTTTTTTAATATTTAATTTACGAATGAATTTTTGTGCATCTATGTAAACATCAAATTTGTTCGCCGCCTTGGGTGGCGCAAATTTTAGGCCTTTATCTAGTACCATAATCTCTTCTTTGGATAATTCATATCCACTTAGGTTAAAAACTCCTTCCCCTATTGTTCTCTTTTTCTTTTGTTGTTTCCACCCTGCCCTACACCCCCTCCTTTTGGTGGACTTTTCCACCTCACAACTTCTGGGCTCCTGTCCCTGTCTAAAAAAATCTCTCTGGGGTGGGTCATCTCTGAGTGGTTCATACCTATTGTACAATCCTATGGGACTCCTTCTTCACCATTTGGTGGATACCATCTCTCTTGTGGATACTGTCTTGGGCTTCTTTCCTGATAACAATTGTACACAGGTCTCTGATAATAATCAGGTCTGGGTGGACCATAATATGTTCCTCTATAATAATTGTTAGGTCTACCACCATTTGAATAAGGTCTCTATCCATAACCGCCCCCTCCTCCTTTAGGCTTTTTGTGATAAGAGCCTCCATTATTATTTTTAGGTCTCCACCCATTCCGGGGCGTATGGTAAGATGGACCGTTAGGATGGTAATTGCCTCTCCGTTCATTATTATTTCTTGGTCCCTCCTGAATAGGCAAAGAGGAAGGTTTTAATACATCTACCTTTTGTTCTTTAATGGGAGGGGTGTTATTTGATGCTATTCCTGATTCACCAGGGGAATAAATATGGTTCAAAGCAGAAAGCACAAGTTTTAGCAGAAAAGTGGCAGTAATAAATTTTAGGGGTCACTGTTATATGGCTCACTTCTATCTATTTATCTATATTTTTATTTTATTTGTATGTCCTGTTTGATCATTTTTTCTAGAAACAGAGTTGCGCTTTGTAAGCCTTGTGGCTTATTTTTTTACCATATACAGTTTTATACTGGTTTTGCTCTTCACTGTATTCAATTTACACAATGTGTATATATTCTTTTATTTTCTATAGCAACGGTTCAGTTGCAACACAGTAGCTTTTGCAGCATCTTTTCACATCACAGCACTATTTAGTGCTTATTAAGCACTGTCTTGTTGGGATCCTATCTACGGATAATATCACTGTTTATGTTGGCACCATTTATGGCTATGAAGTAGTATTATTTTCACCCACAGTCACTTACTTATTATTAACCACCTCCCGTCCGGCTGTTGTATATAAATGGCCGGACGGTGGCAGTGCAGGGTTGGGTGGTCGTTTATAAATGGCCTCACCGCACTCTGCTTGGCGCGCTCCCTGGTGCCGCTGTGTCCTCCGGACACAGTGGAACACCGATTGTCGGACGGGACCTCTGTGCGAGGTCCCGATCATGTGATCACTGATTGGCCAATCAGTGATCACATGCAGAGTGTCACATGTTCACCCACACGCCACGCCCACAACGACTAGCTAACCGAGGCACGCACGTGCGGCTGTGACTTGGGGTAAGAGGGAATAAGGGGGACTTAACTTTGAATATATCTACGTATATAAGACCAGTCGTGATATACTTTCACAGTCCACACTACCTCTTGGCCACCACCGGAGGGAGACTCCATTCCAATCCAGCTGGTCGACCACACACTGGCAGATACAAATCTTATATACAATCTGGTGCACTAATTAGAGTTGAGGAGCAGCTTAGCAATTGCACACCCTTCCAGGGTTCCTCCAGCTATCCTACAAGTCCAGAACCCTGGTGTTAGTCGCTCTTCCACTGTCCACACACCCCCACACCACAAACGGTAGCTTGCCACCACCCAACAGTTTATCCGCAGAATGGTCTGTTGGGACACCACACACACACACAGATCTCCGTCTGGCAGATCTGCTACCTTTATAATCTGTACGCAATCTGCCAACACACAGTGCAATTGCATGCAGATAGGCAATGAACTTGACCGAGCATTTAAAGGCACTAAAATACAATACAATCTAATCTCTCTGGAGATATGAGCCCATGCTTAAATACCCAGAAGTCACTTATTAATTTTAAGATTTAATATCCCGAAAGTGGGCAGTGCATAAAATATGTACAAAGTATAAAAAGTTACAGAAAATACAAAAAATACAAGAAGACACACATTGACTATTCACTATAAAATAAAAGGGAATAAAAAACAGAAATAAAACTTTTACCAAGATTTACCCTGCGGCTGGAGCAAGTCAGAAAAAGTCCGTAATCCGTTTGTCGATCGAACCAGCTCCATACGAATCACACGTCCATACCTCCGGGTCCTCAATTTATGGGAATATGGATATAGGCGGGACATTCCTGTGCCCGCCCACAGGATGTTCTGGCTGCTGAACTGCCCAAAGTCAATTGGGCCAGGAACGGCTTGAATCACCAAGTCAGGGATTGAATTTCCGACAGCAGCGCATCAGTCCGATCGCGACAGTACCAATCACTGTTCAGCTATCGTGATCCTGCACCACATAATCATTTCCTGCATTTTTCTGGCATTCTACATAGTCCACAAATACCGTTTTTACATGCAGATGCAGCCCACAGAGTGTCCAATCAGAAGGAAGAATTTTCATCTCTCTGCAACTAATATTTTAGCTTTTATGAGGGATGAAACATACTCCTTTGATCTACGTATATGCTTTAGAGCTCCCCAGACAGATCGGGGCCCCTCAGGTGTCATGAAGCCAAAACGTCTGTGTTCCTCTTTCAAACTTCAGGAAGGTAGCAAAGTCTGATTACATATAGGTGACAAAATCTTATTAGCACCCAGGTGTCACTTCCAGCCTGAGGAAGCTCTGCCTCTTTTCAGATGCTAATGGATGACCATATGCCTTAATTCTGAACACATCTTTAATGACAAGGAATTAACTAAATTTATGATTACATATTGCTACAGGTCACAACTTATCTACTCAAATCTGTACATTTATGTCACACAGAGTAGTAAGCAAGATGTCACTTCTGAAATCATTGCTTACTACGTGTGAAATCTGTGAATGATCACAGAGGTCACATGGCACAAGGCTATTCACAAGAGCCTTGTACCATGTGACAAGCTGTGACCAATCACAGCTCACACAGTAGTTCTCAATGGCTGCAAGAATGCAGCTAGAGAGAAGGAGAAATGATTGTTTTTACAGCCTTTATGGGTGTAAAAGTTATCAGTGTAAAAAAAAAAAAAAAAATCTTCATCACCCCACACAAGTAGTACAGTGTCACCTGGGTGACACTGTACTGCTAGGGTGACAATATGTAAAAAAAAACATAAATAATAATATAAAAAAATAAAAAAATGTAAAAAAAAAGTTTTAAAAATTATAATTTTCGTTATAGACTAATTTGGATTATTTATTTTTTTCTACTAAAAACATAACAGAATACATTTTGGCCAAGATTTATGATGAAATACTATTTATTTGCAAAATTTTATAAGAAAAACACTTTTTTTTCAAAATTTTTGGACTTTCATTCACATAGCAAAAAAAATAAATATCCCAGTGGTGAATTAATACCACCAAAATAAAGCTTTCTGTTTCAAAAAATGCTAAAAATTTCATATGGGTACAGTGTTGCATGATCGCGCAATTGTCATTCAAAGTGTGATAGCACTGAAAGCTGAAAATTGGCCTGGATAGGAAGGGGGTAAAAGTCTCCAGACTGGAAGTGGTTAACTACTTGCCGCCCAGCCACTGTACATATACGGCGGCAGGGTGGCACTCACAGGCAAAACCACGTTTTAAAACGTGTGTTTTATAAACAAAAAGGGGGCGTGAGCTAGGCGCGCCGCTGCCCTATCTGTCCCGTGGATCACCGCCGCAGTTGTCAGTCACCGAGTCACAGCCGCTCCTTAGCGGCTTTGTCCCGGCGATCAGCGGCAAACAGTGACAGAGAGCACAGCTGCAGTAGCTGTGCTGTCTGTCACTTCCCTGTCAACTCGAGGATGAGCTGATTGAGAAAGAACAGTTTCTCTTTATCAATCAGCCTTGTCCCATCCAGTACACACCCCTAACCCCTAGTAAAACATTCCCCTCACTCCTATAACCCTTCCCTGCAAAATAAAGTTAACCCCTTCCTCCCCAGTGCCATTAGTACAGTGTCAGTGTTTTGTTTTTTTTGCACTGATCACTGTATTAGTATTTTTGGGGATGTCAGTGACCCCAAGTCAGTACCCCCCAATGTCAGAATGTCCACCGCAGTCCCGCAGTCCCGCCATAAGTCGCTGGTCGCTGCCATAAGTCCCTGATCGCCGCCATAATTCGCTGATCGCCGCCATTATTAGTATAAAAAAAAAACTAAAAATCCCAGTATCTTTCCCGCCATTTGTAAACGCTATAACTTTCACGTAAACCAATTAATTTACACGTATTAGTTTTTTTTTTTAGCAAAGACATGTCGCAGAATGCATTTTGGCAGAAATTTATGACTAACTTTGATTTTTGCATTTTTTTTTACTGGACATTTATAGCAAAAAGTCCAAAATATTGTTTTTTTTTTTCCTCAAAATTGTCAGCCTTTTTTTTTATAGCGCAAAAAATAAAAACCGCACAGGCGATCAAATACCACCGAAAGAAAGCTCAATTTGTGGGGAAAAAAAAAAAGGATGTAAATTTCATTTATGCACCATATTGCATGACCACGCAATTGTCCGTTAAACTAGCGCAGTGCTGTATAGCAGAAAAATGGCGTAAATTGCAGTATTTATACCATAGTTTGTAGACGCTATAACTTTCACACAAAGCAATCAATATACACTTATTGGGATTTTTTTTCTACCAAAAACATGTAGCAGAATACATTTTGGCCTAAATTTATAACCAACTTTGAGTTTACTATATATTTTTTATAGCTGAAAGTAAAAAATATTGTTTTTCTTCAAAATTTTGGGCCTTTTTTTGTTTGTTTATAGCGTGAAAAATAAAAAGCGCACAGGTGATCAAATTACACCGAAAGAAAGCTCTATTTGTGTGAAAAAAAGGACGTAAATTTTGTTTGGGTGCAGCATTGCATGACCGCGCAATTATCAGTTGAATTAGTGCAGTGCCGAGTGGCAAAAAGAGGCCTGGCCATTAAGGGGGGTAAATCCTCTGGAGCTCAAGTGGTTAATGGTGTACCTGGGTTACACCTTTTGTATATTTTGGGTGTTTTTTACTGTTATCCACCATTTTGGATATTTCATGTGTATTCTATTATTTAGAATTAGCGCAGCACCAATTACTCCTCATTTAGCAATTTCCCATTTGGTATATGGTAAGGTGTTAGCAGCTTTACATATAGAATACGAACCTAGAGTGCGGGAGGACTACATAGATACAATGGTATAGCCTTGACTGGGTGATTGAACGCTGTCTCACTCCATTAAAAAATGGATGGAGTTCTGCTATAATATATTATTTTTCATTGCTTATCTAGTCACTTTGGACCATAGATGATTGTAGATGCTAATTAAAATACATCTCCAGCTAAAACTTTTTTTAGTTTTTGATAGAGTGGGTAGAGATTGGAACCCCAGTTAAGTTTTAACTGCTGTCTGGGACTCTTTTAGAGAGAATTACCCTAAGTTTCTGTTTTGCTGACAACATTTAACCAACAGTATTTACCATTTGCCAACTTAGAAGAATTCACAGGCAGCTTAACTCTTCAATAAGATGCAGAAATTGAATCTAATGAAATTTAATCTAATGCAGTTGAATCTGCTGTCTGGGGCTGTTTTAGAGAGAATTACCCTAAGTTTCTGTTTTGTTGACAGTTAACCAAAATGTTTTGTTTCACATGCTGATATCTGCAATTACATATCTCCTTAGATGCAGTCTGTGGTAACAGTATTTACCATTTGCCAACTTAGAAGAATCCACAGGCAGCTTAACTCTTCAATAAGATGCAGAAATTGAATCTAATGAAATTTAATCAAATGCAGTTGAATCTGCTGTCTGGGGCTGTTTTAGAGAGAATTACCCTAAGTTTCGGTTTTGCTGACAACATTTAACCAAAATGGTTTGTTGTACATGCTGATATCTGCAATACCTCTTCAATAAGATGCAGAAATTAAATCTAATGCAGTTTTATTTTTAGTAAGTGCAGTACAGAGGTTGTATTCCCAATCTTTTGAAGTGTAAGCAGACAATGACTTTCCTAAGCTCTGTTTCTGCAAAGATTTGAAACTAATAAAGGAACATAAAAAAAGCAAGGACTAATTAGCTCTAAACAGGAGTGGATAACAAAGGGAGATACCAAATACAGGGTAAACAAGTTGTAGAGGTGCTGACCTATCTCTAGAAGTCAGTATACACCAGAACATAATATACATGCAATTGCAGCAAAAGATATATTTGTGGAGGTGAACATAACAATTAAGTGAGGGGAACTTTCTAAAAGTAACACTGACAGAACTAGAGATGAGAAGGCCTGAGGAAAAAAAACGGAAAAATTGGGGAAAAAAAACTCTATTTTCAAAGCCATTTTTTTTGTCTGGAAAAATTGGATAAAAAAATGAACTGTGGAATATGTTCTTTTAAAAAATGATAATTTATATATATATATGACATGGTATTCAAACTATATAAAAGAAGACCTTAATGAAAGATTTTTGAGACTTTATGTATTGCAAGTTCTCTCAGCTGAAGACAAATAAATCCTGGAATACAATCCAAGTAACACTGTACTTCTCAATGCAGGTCTCAAACAAGAGAAATATGCATATCTTCCACTAAGGGGAACTGCAGGGGTTTCAGTTTACTTAGCTTGTGGGCTCCATCTTGTGCATCCTGCTGTTTTTTTTTCACATGGTTTTAAAATCTCTGGAAAGTTTATATCTCTAGACACAAATGAAAAGTTTTTTTTTGCTTTAGCGGATTAGGAGAAGGCTACAACTCCTGTCCAATTGTTATTGCTGTTCTTTTTGCAGATTTCCTGCCTAGCAAAACCATTGCCAACAGCACAGGAAGTAAGGGGGAATCTCTCTAAATGAGCCCTGTATGAAAAACCTGACAGAAGTTCCAATCCTTTCCACTCTGTCCAAAACTAGAAAAATGTTTTTGGCTTCACATACACTTTAAGTATTAACTGTGCCATATGGAACATGTTATTGCCAGGATGAAACTGTTTAAACATTTCCCTGGGGGTTTAATCAATATCTCAAAATTAAAAATTCAGTTTAAGGTTATGTGAACAACATAAGTCACAAATACCATTTACAAAGCGAATGATTTCATTGTCTATATATTATCCTTTTTCAGTAAGTACAGTAAGTAAATAACTTTTAAATACTGTTCACAAAATGGATCATTTTATTATCTATGCACATTCACCATTTTTAAGACTTTAGAGTCAGATTCAAAAGTGTTAAAAACGTCATGATGTTTTGATTCAAACAAAAATTACAATGTTGCTGCTGTTGTATGATTCCTATAGATGATGACACAAACCAGAGCACATAGCCACGTAAACCAGCTTCTACTGAGGTCACTGGGAAAGGTGTATGTACCTGTAATATGATACTGAACGGATTAAAAACTGTAAAAACCATAATGATAGATATGTTTCTCATTTACCATCTGGCTTTCCAACTCATGGGATAATGACTACAAAGCTGGGAGAATCTATAGCATGATGAAAGTATTCCTAAATGTAAATAGACAAAAATATTATTATTACACGTTTTTTGTACATCATTGAGGCAAGGGAGGGGGGGGGCTGCAAATAATTAATATATACAAAGCCCCAGATTTACTGGAAGAGGGCATGTCAGCACCAAAACAGTGCCAACACTTTTCTGTTAGAATAAATTTACTAAATCTGCTAACATCTACCTGTCATGCAATTTAGTAAAATTCTCCAAACAGCTTTACGTTAAATGAAATATAATAAGAAATTAGTATAGAATTATTTTGTAGCCTCCCTAGCGGTCTGATTATGTCCATATTTCTGTGCTCAAAGTGGTACATTTTTTTTCATGGAAATATGTATTTTTTTTATTGTAGGCCTGTAATTTTTAGGAATAACTCACTGAAATCTGTCCGAACAAGAGTCTAGTAAACATCCCTGGTATGTTAAAATTTGAAACACGAAATCATAAATTAGAATTTAATAAATAATCATAATAATAATAATAATAATATAATAATAAATGTAATTAGATAATATAATCAAACCAAAAACACTGAAATTTGAAATATAGCGCCAAGTTTGCACATCACTGAGCAAAGTCGCAAAATCGTTTTCAGTGTCTGATGATGAATTTCCCCACGAATCATTATCACTCAATTCTGCAAGTAGTTCTAATTTGCTATCGCTGTTCTTAGCTGGTCTAAAATCGCTTTTGACCTAAAGGGGCGCTTTTTGGACGCCATGGACATTTCTCAGTTTCAAGGCAGAAAGAGCAGTAAAACATGCAGGCAGGGCACAGGACAAAGCACTAGGGACAAAATGGATGTGAAATGGTTTGATACAGTAATGTTTTACTATGTGATTTTAGTGAATTTAGTGACTGTCACTTTTACAACTTTCAAATTTTCCGTCAGTAACATCCCCCGTACATCCCAATGTCGAAGGTAACGGAACCCAGAAGACAGATGCCGGCATCCACCGGAGGACATTGCAGGGGACACTGCAGGAGGGACAACACAGGACAAGGTAAGCGAAGAAGAGATCCCGGAGCAGCGCCACATGGTAAGCCCGAGTGTAGCTCAGGGGTTACCGCTTGTGGTGCTGAAACTTTACCCCGAGCTACACTCGGGAATACCACCAGGGAGGTTAATGTATAGCAATGCCCTCCTTTACAAATGCATACACAACGGTATCTGGAGCACACAGGAGTTCCTGTGGTGCTTATATTTAAAGTGTTACTAAACCCAGGACCCTGCATTCACTCTATCTGGTCTCCCACAGTACACACTACATGGAAATACAATTATTTTAGTAAATATAAACTGCTAAATACCTTTTCTCATCAGCATTTAGAGCAGTCTTGTGACTTCAGCAGATCACTGGTTAAAACATGTAGGAGGAGTTTTCTTTCTGCTCTAGAAGGATGTGAAAGTCCTGATCCTCTGTCTGGACAGTGCTGATTGGCCCTGTGCTGATCACATGTACTCTCCCAAGACAATGAAAAAACCTCTCTAGCAATACACAGCAAACTGAGCATGTGCATGTGACTATGGATTCAGTCTGTATCAGGTGGTCATTTCAACAAGAGGAGGGGCAGAGAAGAAAGAATCAAACAGCCTTTTCACACAATGCAGAGGATTAACCCCTTAGATTCCACAGTAAATAAAACAAGCATGCTTTACTGCATATACTGTACAGACTAATTTTACTCTTGTGGGTTTAGCAACACTTTAAATAAGAATTCCGAGAAGATAATGAAAAGCTGACAGCTTCTGATATCACCAAAGGCATACTCTTGATGGGTCACAGAGTGATATTGCTCTCCTTAAAGTGATTGTAAAGCTTTAATTTTTAAAAAAAATAAAATAATAAACATGTCATACTTACCTACTCTGTAGACACAGACAGCATGGCTCAGCCCCACTACTGCTCTCTCAACATAGAATTTGATTGACAGTAGTGGCTCCCACTGCTATCAATTTGCCCTGTGAGGATGGAGAGAGCGGAGAGAGCCGCTGGTCTCCGGCACAGTGCTGGATTGAGATCAGGTTTTGGCAAGTATAGAGAGGGTGTTGGGGAGATCCTATGACAGAGAAGGTATTTCACTTTAATGCATAGAACACATTAAGGTAAAAAATCTTAAGATTTAGAAACACTATAAAGCCCATCTCATACATGGAATGTCTTCTCCAGCTACCACCACAGCAAAGCATCATCATGGGCTTTGACCAATGTCCATCCAGCAATCTCCCAATGACCCTCCCCACCCCACAACCCATATCCCACCCCACCCTCAACTACCCTGCGATCACTTACCCCCCTACTCCCTCTCTCCCACCCTGCCCTCAATCCAGCCTCACCCAACTCCCTGACTCCCCCTTCAACCCTCCAAACCACCACTCTACCTACTCTTCCTAGGCAATAGGTACTGGTAATTGGTATCGGTGAGTATTTAAAAAAAAATATTGGTACTCATACTCAGTGTTAAAATGGTATTGGTGCATCATTAACTATAAGTACTTTTCAAGCCGGACACAAAATGACTTCAAAAGATGAAAAGTCATGTTGTGATTAGTTGATATCAGTATACAGTACATACAAAAAGGGTTCTTTGGTATAGTCTGATTATTCAACTGGATGAAAACCTTTTGCAGCTATGGTAAGTTTCTACTATGTCTGTCTTAAAAGTTTATTCCCTTTAATAAGCACAGAATCTAACAAAAATATCAAGATATCCAACAATGCAAAAGGCATGTAAATCATGAACATACCTTCCATGAGAAACTCCATTAAATGCAAAATAGTAAAATTAATTTTTGCTATGCCACATAGAATTTACAGCTTGCCAGTGCAGGGTGGGTGTCCAGCTATTTTTCTGATACATGTTATAAATGAGTATTTACACATAAATGTATGCACCTAAATTCTTGCATTAATGGATGCTGGCCAAGTTCTAGCTGACTTGACATATGGATTAGTATAATATATAAGCAATTTTCAGAGTTAACTGCCACTGAGGTTTTTTTCTTTTTTTTTTGCTTTTTAGTATGTCTAGTATTTTATTTTTGGCATAACAGTACTTTAAAAATATAAATATGACTCTAATAAAAATTTAATTAATTAATTGCAGCAATGCTTGGTATTGTGTTAAAGAGTACAATAAAACAATAGACCCAACGCAATTGATTTTCCTAGCATATTTTAAAATAAAAACATAATTCTGGAATATATATACTTCAGTCTTCTAGTCCTATACAAAATTACCATTTTCCAGTTTAAAAAATGTCTGTTTAGTGTGTTTTGCAAGAGTAAATGTCTACAACAACTGAGAAAAGGATATTCTTCAACATTTTTATCATTTTCTTAAATTATAAACAGTATCTCCTTGCTCACCTACATGGTAACCTGTCTTCAGTTACACTTTGTAGCCAGATCAAACATATTTGTCTGGACTGGAATGTTAATTCCTCCAACATCCTGTATTCTAAAACTGTTAGCTGCCACCTCTCTATTCATCTTTCCACTGTCAATACAGATGAATCTCCTTCATAGTCTGCAGATGCAGTTCATTTTCTTGTGACAAACTTAAACTAAATAGATGAATTTCATGTATGATTTTATCACTGTTTTAACCACTTGAGCTCCTGAGGATTTACCGTCCTTAATGACCAGGCCTTTTTTTGCTGTTTGGCGCTGCACTAATTCAAATGATAATTGCGCGGTCATGCAATGCTGTACCTAAACGAAATTTACGTACTTTTTTTCACAAATAGAGCTTTCTTTTGGTGGTATTTTATCACCTGTGCGGTTTTTATTTTTTGCGTTATAAACAAAAAAACATGAAAATTTTGAAAAAAAAACAATATATTTTCTACTTTCAGCTATAAAAAATATATGTAAACTCAAAGTTAGTCATAAATTTAAGCCAAAATGTATTCTGCTACATGTTTTTGGTAAAAAAAATCCCAATAAGTGTATATTGATTGCTTCGTGTGAAAGTTATAGTGTCTACAAACTATGGTATAGATACTGTAATTTATGCCTTTTTTTGCTATACAGCGCTGCACTAATTCAAATGATAATTGCGCGGTCATGCAATGCTGTACCCAAACGAAATTTCCGTCCTTTTTTTCACACAAATAGAGCTTTCTTTTGGTGGTATTTGAACACCTGTGCGCTTCTTATTTTTTGCTCTATAAACAAAAAAACCACAAAAATTTTGAAAAAAAAACAATATTTTCTATTTTCAGCTATAAAAAATATATCGTAAACTCAAAGTTAGTCATAAATTTAAGCCAAAATGTATTCTGCTACATGTTTTTGGTAAAAAAAATCCCAATAAGTGTATATTGATTGCTTTGTGTGAAAGTTATAGCGTCTACAAACTATGGTATAGATACTGTAATTTGTGCCTTTTTTTGCTATACAGCGCTGCACTAATTCAAATGATAATTGCGCGGTCATGCAATGCTGTACCCAAACAAAATTTACGTCCTTTTTTTCACACAAATAGAGCTTTCTTTTGGTGGTATTTGATCACCTGTGCGCTTTTTATTTTTTGCGCTATAATCAAAAAACCACGAAAATTTTGAAAAAAAACAATATTTTCTACTTTCAGCTATAAAAAATATATCGTAAACTCAAAGTTAGTCATAAATTTAAGCCAAAATGTATTCTGCTACATGTTTTTGGTAAAAAAAATCCCGTGCATTAGCGGGCAAACTGGCGCTATCTGGGAGGGGCGCTAACACTATCGGAAGTCACCAGTGACACTAATACAGTGATCAGTAAAAATCTGTTCACTGTAATCAATGATACTGGTGACAGGGCAGTGAAGGGGTTAACTGGGGGGGGAGATTAAGGGGTTAAATGGGATTACTGGTGTACTAGCGGGCAATCTGGCGCTATCTGGGAGGGGCGGTAACACTATCGGAAGTCGCCAGCGACACTGATACAGTGATCAGTAAAAATCGGTTCACTGATCAGTGACACTGGTGACAGGGCAGTGAAGGGGTTAATTGGGGGGGGGGGCGATCAAGGGGTTAGACGGGATTATTGGTGTATTAGCGGGCAATCTGGCGCTATCTGGGAGGGGTGCTAACACTTTCGGAAGTCGCCAGCGACACTGATACAGTGATCAGTAAAAATTGGTTCACTGATCAGTGACACTGGTGACAGGGCAGTGAAGGGGTTAACTGGGGGGGGCGATCAAGGGGTTAAACAGGATTACTGGTGTACTGGCGGGCAATCTGGCGCTATCTGGGAGGGGTGCTAACACTATCGGAAGTCGCCAGCGACACTGATACAGTGATCAGTAAAAATCGGTTCACTGATCAGTGACACTGGTGACAGGGCAGTGAAGGGGTTAACTGGGGGGGGGGGGGGCGATCAAGGGGGTTTAAACGGGATTACTGGTGTACTGGCGGGCAATCTGGCGCTATCTGGGAGGGGCGCTAACACTATCGGAAGTCGCCAGCGCCACTGATACAGTGATCAGTAAAAATCGGTTCACTGATCAGTGACACTGGTGACAGGGCAGTGAAGGGGTTAACTGGGGGGGGGGGCGATCAAGGGGTTAAATGGGATTACTGGTGTACTGGCGGGCAAACTGGCGCTATCTGGGAGGGGCGCTAACTCTATCGGAAGTCGCCAGCAACACTGATACAGTGATCAGTAAAAATCGCTTCACTGATCAGTGACACTGGTGACAGGGCAGTGAAGGGGTTAACTGGGGGGGGGGGGCGATCAGGGGGTTAAATGTAACCTAGGTGTGTTCTAACTGTTAGTGTAGTGCTTTGTACTCACTTTTACTGTGTCTTCTTCTCTGTCTGGAACGGAATGTGTCCAGGCAGAGAAGAAAGACATCATATCCTGTCCTGTGTAAATGTCAACACAGGACAGGATAGGACAGGGTCCGATCATCTGATTTCAGCCAGACATCACTGGCTGAAATCTAATGATTGATCCCTCCGGGATCGAATGGTGTCACCCGCGGGTCGGCGGGGGAGCGCGGAACCCATTTTTAAAACGTGGTTTTGCGCCTGAGTGCCGCCTGCACACGTATATATACAGTGGCAGGGCGGCAAGCGGTTAAATGTATAGGGAATGTATAGTATTTCTACATTGTCTTAGATTTAATATATCAGATTAATGTACATAATCTGTATAACGTGTTATTTTTATTTAATGCTTCTAAATATAGTTTGTATTTATTTCAGGTACATATATAGCACTGCCAAGTTGCGCAGCACTTTACATCTATATATATTGTACATTCACATCTTTCTCTGCCCTCAAGGAGCTTATATTCTAAGGGCACATAACTCACATTTCCTACACATACTAGGGTCAATTTAGACAGGAGCTAATTAACCTACCAGTATGTCTTTGGAGTGTGGGAGGAAACTGGAGTACCCAGAGGAAACCCATGATGGCACAGAGAGAACATGCAAACTCAATGCAGGTAGTGACATGGCTGGGATTCAAACTGAAAACCCTAGAGCTGCTAGACAGAAGTGCTAACCACTTATCCACTGAGTCATATTTATTTATTACAGGTACTATATAGCACCGTCAATTTTTCACAGCACTTTACATATATATATTGTACATTCATATCAGTCCCTAATCCTCAAGGGGCGTACAATCTAGGGTCCCTAACTTATATTCATATACAGACTAGGGCCAATTTAGACAGGATCCAATTAACCTACCAGCATGTCTTTGGAGTGTGGGAGGAAACCGAAGTACCTGGAGAAAATCCAAGCAGGTACAGGGAGAACATGCAAACTCCAGGCAGGAGGTGCCATGGCTGGGATTCGAACCAGTGACCTTAGTACTGCCAGGTGGATGTGCTGACCGTTTAGCCACTGTGCTGCCTGATTAAACACATGTAAGCCCCTCTTCCTGCTTTGCAGAACTACACAATGATAGTGCATTACTGCTTCATCTCACAATCCTAGTCTATGAGGTTAATTTACTACCTTACTGAATGTTCATGTTTCAAACTGAACTTTCACTTAGCTCAGTCAATAACATGAAGTTGTGTATACTTTGAATATCCAAATGGAAAATTAATTAGGAAATTAAAAAATGTAAAAAATGCATTTTGCTTGTACATGCCTCACATTAATTAATGGATTAATTTTCAAAGTTAACCTCCTGGACTTTTTAAGTAAATCCAACTCTAGGAGTCAGTGAAGACAACATATTATCTCACCAGATGTTAGGGCTAGGGCTACAATGGTGATTATATCTCTTTGCTGCTTAGAGATTTACTTGCTTATAAGTCGTTATTTCATTAAAGTTGTATTGGCTTTAGTCTTCTGCAATTTACACAACTGCCAGCAAATGGCCAATTGCTTAGTAGTAAAGAGACTGAATTGCCTGTGTAACCCAAGCCCTTTAAGAGGGAAACAATAATTGTAGCGCACCCCTGACAGTTCTTGGCCAATATACAAATGTCTATCTTTTTATCTAGCAATTTTTATTGTAAGCATTCTATGCTTTATAACAATCATAAAAAATAATAGGAGAGAGAAAAATAACAACAATCATTGTTCATTGATCCCACTCCCTGAAACCAGATAGTACTTTGCCATAGCATTTGCAAATAACAGAATGCATGGATTGACAATATATCAAAGACATATAGGGGTCAATTTATCTAAAGGCAAATAGGCTTGTCACAATCGCGGCGTCAGACCCCAGACCTTCTCACCAAACTTGTGACCGAAGGACTAGCCGATCTAAAACCACGATGTCACGTGCGTAACAATGCCACACCCAGCTGCACCCTGCACAACGATTTTCCAGCTAATGGACCACAATCGATCTACCGGCAGCCTGGGCGATTGTTACTGGATAAGGTTAATTATGCAATTAACCCTTCACACTGCCACCACCTCCTTTTTGTACAGAGAAAGGAAACATGGCGTTATCAGCTATAACACTATAATGATTGAGATAATCGTCTGTATAAAACGGTCCGCAGGACGGTTATACAGAGGTTTAAACAAACACAGTAGCGTTCTCTTTAGAGGCAGGAATTCATAAATTGCAATAAAGCGCTATAGAAACAGATCAACACTTTCAGAAGGAAAGATTTATTACTAAAAGGTCAAACGGGTGCAATAAAAATATTTACAGAAAAAGATGTACCTAAGATATATATATACACATACAAAGAACCATAGCACAGCAAAGAGATATCTGAGAGAGGTGAAAGAGTTAAAGTACTTGCTAAAGTCCTGGGTTAGCAGATCCAAGTTTCAGAGCAGAAGGGTGCTTTGATCTCCCTATTTACGATGATCAATGGGAGAATTCTTCAACCACCCACTCTTAGGCCTGACAGCCTGTTTTGTCTTACCCAGCAGGGGGTGGCTCTGAAGTCAAGGATCAATCTCCAAACCAAGAGCATGGAGATATGGGTGGATGCCTCAACTAGAGCAAAAATCTCCCGTAACTCATATTTTGGCCTATAACTTTCCATCTGCACAAGTGACATTCCACCCGCGGGTAGAGTATTATGCAGACAACTCTGAGGATTGATTAGATATGAATTATGAAAGTGTACACTGAATGGTTTGCGAGATCAATTTTTCTGCTTTCCTGTGTGTCCAAGACAAGGAGAGTGACCCATCAAACTGTTCGCCTGCTCATCGTCCATCTGACGATATGTCCGGTTTTTATGTAAGTCTCTCATATTCCAAGATATGACACTTAGGGGAAACATGGATTTTGAGACCTGTTATCTGATTCTGTCACCTATGCTGAGTAGGTTTTATTAGGTTGGAATCTCTCTCAACTCCTGAGAAAGCTTGTCTTATCTCTTCCGAGGTGTGAAATGGCACAGATTCTCGGATAGCTAGCCCCCGGCTCCCTGGGGGGCCTTTATAGCTCCTATGACCCTCCTGTGACATTTCTTAACACACACATGACACTGTCACAGTGACAGTGAGGAGGGAGGGGGGAAGGAGAGTGAGGGAAGAAAATGGAGATTAAAAAAATGACAGACTGCGTCAGTCTCTGTTGCGCACATTTGCGACAAGGCTGTGCACTGAAAGTGCAGTGGCTCTAGATCTGAGGGGAACATGCAAGGAAAATAAAAAATAGCATTTTTGCCTGCACATGATTGGATGAAAGAAATCAGCAGAGCTGCACCTCATTTCAGAGCTTCCCCTCGGATATAAAGCAACTGCACTTGCAGTGCACAATATATTTACTTTAGTAAATAAACCCCATATTGTATAACCAGTCAGCAGGTGTATGTTACGTCTTGCATATCTTTGAATTAGCCTCAGGGACCATAGTAAGTTATTCTTTTATAGTCTATCTTGAACACAATAACAAAATATGAAAAACATGCTGAATGGCTGGCACCAAAAAAATGCCCCCACAAATTGAGAGAAGATGGCCAGTGAAACCAGCTGTGGTGAAGACACCGCTGGACCGAGGGATAGGTAAGTGGCTGTATCTTAAAATTCAGCAGCTACAGTTTTTTTTTTCAGCTGGAACTCTGCTTCAAAGACTGCATATCATCTAACAAATCAGTAGTAGCAAGAGCTACAGTAAGTCCATTGAGAGC